CTCTGCACCACCGTATTCATTGCAGCATTGGTTACAAGAGCCAAGACATGAAAACAAGCTAAGTATCCATCAATAGATGGATGGATAAGGAAAATGTGGTTTGCAATGGAATGTTATTCAGCCATTAAAAAGAAAGGAAATCCTGACATTTGCCACAGCACAGATGAACTTACAGGATATTATGCTAAGTGAAATAAGGCAGACAGAAAAATGCGAATACCATATTATCTCACTTATATGTGGAATCTAAAATTAACAAAGAACAGAAAAATGAACTAATAGATACAGAGAACAGATTGGTGGTCACCAGAGGTGGGGGGTGGGGTAGGGAGTGAGAGAAATTGGTGAAGGTGGTCAAAAGATACAAACTTCCAGTTATAAGACAAATAAGCCCCAGAGTGTAACGTACAGCATGGTGACTATGGTTAATAATACCATGCTGTAGGGACACCTGGGGGCTCAGTTGGTTAAGCATCCAACTCTTGATTTCAGCTCAGGTCATGATCTAATGGTCATGGGTGCAAGCCCCACATCAGGCACCACGCTGAGCACTGAGCCTGGAGCCTGCTTGAGATTCTCTCCCTCCGTCTCTCTCTGCACTTCCCCACTCATGTGCAACCCCCCAAAATAAATAAGAAAACATTTAAAATAATAATACAATAATACTGTATTGTATATTTGAAAGATACTAAGAGAGTAAATCTTAAACTCATCACAAGGAAAAAATGTTAACTATGTGTGGTAATGTATGTTACCTAGATGTACTATGGTGATCATACAGCAATATAAATATATATCAAACCATTATGTTGTACACTTGAAACTAATATAATGCTATATGTCAATTAAATCCCAATTGAAAAAGGCATAGGCCAAAATGTGGTGTTTTGATACAGTGGAGTATTATTAATCTTGAAAGAAATTCTGACACAGGCTACAATATGATGAATCTTGAGGACACTATGCTAAATAAAACAAGCCAGACACAAAAGGTCATATACTGTATATGATTCCACTTCTCTGAAGCGCCCAGAGGAGTCAAATTCATAGAGGTGGAAAGTAGAAGGGCAGTTGCCAAGGAACTGGGGAGAGGAGGGGATGGGAGTTATTTTTAACAAGTATAAAGTTTCAGTTTCACAAGATGAATAAGCTTCTGGAGGTGGATGGTGAGGATGGCTATACAACAATGTGCACGTACTTAAGGCCACTGAACTGCATACTGAAAAATCGTAAATTTTGTTATCTGTTACCACATAAAAAAAAAAAAAAACTTTAAAAAGTATAGGCCAAGTGCTGTGGGAGCTCAGAGGAAAGTCTTCTGTGTATCTCGTAAGAGGAGTCTGATTCCAACTGCTCAGGTAAAGTATTTTTTCATCCCTAGTGTAGAGTACTAATTAAGGTCCTATGGAATGCTTATGAGCAGAGGCAAGTGCTTATGAAGTTAATGAAAGATTGGGTAACACTAAGGCAAAGTAAAATGCATTTTGTTAAAGTGGTTTTCATGTGAAAAGATGTTTGAAAGCTCTTCAGGAGCAAGCTTGGGGCAGTCTCAAGTCCTGATCCTGACCTTGAATCACCCTGACTGTGGACCATCATTTGCCTTTCAACATGGATCCCAGGACTGTTCGCTTCTGGAGAAATTCACCAGGCAGAACAGCGCTGCTCAAATATATTTGCTGCTTGAGATAATGGAGTTTCCTTTTCCATTTTTAAAAAGCAAATTTCCTCTTACTGCCAGCTCCAGTCAGTACTTCACCACACAATGACCTCAACTATCCCTAATGTTCCAAGAAGACAGAAAACATTCCCCCTGTACATATGTACATGACTCTGAGGCAAATGGAAAACACCAAGTAAGGGACGCTTTAGGGAGGTGATGGCCGGCCTTCCAAGATCCCTTTCATAAAAGCCGTGTGATGGTGGGGATTGTTATTTCAAATGAGTTCCCTGGAGCCTGATAAATAATAAATGCCACTCTTTACCCCTTGCCCCTTTTTGTGTTTCATTCTCTCCTCCACTCTTTGACCCTGGTGCATGCACTGATTATTCCCAGCAAGTTGGATGTGCATTTACGCAGCCACAGGAATTGAAGAGGCTGGAAGAAAGGAGCTCTCCTGCCAGTAGGGATCACCAGCACAGCACAGTCACTCTGATGGTCCTCATGAGAGCAAACATCATTCTAAATGACTAGTTCCATCTGAATAGGTAGTGTTCCAACAGCGGTCTTCCATTTTACTTCCTTTTAGTATTAAGTGCCCTTAAAAGGTAATAGAAATTCTCTTCTAAGGCACCCAATCTTTTTAAAGAGCACAACACCCCCCACGGATTTACAACCAGATAATTCAATTTCCTTAGTCATGAAATCAATGTGATCATCTTTACTGAAATGGAATTCTTATTTTCTACTTCCTTTTTATACTCTCTAGCATAAAATCTGAGCATTCCCTAGGTATCCAAGACCCCATTTTACATGGGAAAGTTTTTATCAAATGAAAAGTCTTTGAAGGTTTGTACCTCTCCAGGTAAAATCTGCTGACTTTTATTTGCCATATTTGGGTCATCTTTCACTGTCGCCCATGGCGCAGCAATCGTGGAGGCTCTGGGCTGAGGAAGATAAGTCAGAAGGCAGAGAAGAGCCCAGCTTCCTGAGGCTTTGCCGCTCCCTTCCCCGCTCCTAAATAACTGGGACCCAAAGACTGATGACTCTTGCCACAAACTGATCTCAGTATTGTCAACACAGCCAAGCACTACTCTTTGTAGTTAATTTAACGACCGTTTTATCAGTCAACTATGTAGAGCACTCTGGGTGGGAGAGCAGACCTGGATGGAGATTTCTTGAAAATATGTTTTTAAAATAGGTGATCCCCATTTCATTCGATGCTGGACCAGTGGATGAAGAGTTGCAGTCCTAACATTGGTTGGCTACCTCACAGTCCATAGGTACCATGATCCAATCGTCCCCCAAGGCTCTTGTGATCTGTGGCTCTCCAACCCGGCAGGATGCTGGAGCATGGAAGAAGCAGTCATAATTAATTCAGCTGAAGCTCACTGTGTGTGTGTGTGTATGTGTGCATGTGTGTGTGGTTTAATTTTTTTTTGAAAGTTTATTTTGAGAGAGAGTGAGAGCAGGGGAGGGGCTAGGAGAGAGAGAGGGAATCCCAAGCAGGACTCCACACTGCCAGTGCAGAGCCTGATGCAGGGTTCGAACTCATGAACCGCCAGATCATGACCTGAGCTGAAATCAAGAGTCGGATGCTTAACCAACTGAGCCACCCAGGCGCCCCTGATGCCCACTGTTTTTAACAGTTGCTTTTACCAGATCATACGGCTGGTCCCACTGTTGTCCTAATAACCCAGGAAGTCCTGAAAGGGAGATACCATGGGTCAGGTGACAGAGCCGCTCCAACCCCTTGGAGATTTCTCCTGCCAAGTGCCCCTGCCTCCACCACCTGGGCTCCTGCTGCTCTTGGATCACCCAGGCCCTTGCTTATTCTTAGCATAGGTGAGGCAGGCTGGTAAGAAATCCTTAAAAGATGATAATACCAAAATATATATCAATATATAATATACCATAGAATTATATAGTATATATTATTATATAGTATATATATAATTATATAGTATATATGTATATAAAATAAGGTCAAGCAAAAGATAATGTACAATTAGTAGGGAAACAGTTTGGCTTTACATAGAGAAACAGAGTAGAGTGGAGTGTAGCAGAGGCTAGGGGGAGGGGAGACGGGGAGATATTGGTCAAAGGGGACAAGCATCCAGTTATAAGATTAATGTTCTCGGGGATCTAATGGACAGCATGGCGATTATTATAATATTGTATAATACTGTATATAATGCTGTATTACAGTACACTTCCACTGTATTATAATACCTGAAAGTTGCTAAGAGTAAATCTCAAATATTTTCAGCACAGGAAAGAAATGGTCATTATGTAAAGGGATGGAGCTAATGCTATGGTGGTAATCATTTTGCAAAAGAGAAATGTATCAACTTACACAACGTTATACGTCAACTGTATCCCAATAAAGCTGGAAAAGAAATGGTTTTTTTAAATTTAGTTTTAAAAAAGTAAAAAATAGTTCAGCTTTGAAGGTAGACAGTTCTGGTTCTACTAGAGTTTGCTTTATTTCAGGTCGTATCCAATACCACATAGAATTCCCCAGTATGAGGACCTGTAGAGGGAATCCTCTTTCTGATACTGTAGCTTTTCCTCCCATTTCCTAGTTTTTGATGTAGCAAGTAACCTCCTTCACACCCACTTGCACACAGGGACTGGCATTTCCAGGGCAGAGCCAATAAATTTTTTTTTTAAATATTTATTTATTTTCGAGAGACAGAGAGAGACAGAGCATAAGTGGGGGAGGAGGAGAGAGAGAGAGAGAGAGAGAGAGAGAGAGAGAGAGAGAGAGAACGGAAGCAGGCTCCAGGCTCTGAGCTGTCAGCACAGAGCCCAATGAGCGTCTCGAACCCATGAACTGTGAGATCATGACCTGAGGCAGAGTCAGATGCCCAAGCTATTGAGCCACCCAGCTGCCCTGGAGACAATAGTTTTAAAACACTTTTTTTTTTAAGGTTGTAAATCTCTGATTTGGAAGACAGTATAGACATAATAGTTTAAAATGAGGTATATAGGGGCACCTGGGCGACTCAGTTTGTTGATCGTCTGACTTTGGCTCAGGTCATGATCTCACTGTTCATTAGTTCGAGCCCTGCATTGGGCTCTGTGCTGACAGCTCAGAGCCTGGAGCCTGCTTCAGATTCTGTGTCTCCCTCTCTTCTGTTCTCCAAATCGTACTCTGTCTGTCTGTCTCTCTCTCTCTTAAACATAAATAAAAACATTAAAATTTTTTTAATAAGTAAATAAAAGATGAGGTATATAGAAAAAAACAATAAAATGAGGCATGTGAGTGCAAACTGTCCATTTGCAACAAAATACATTTTCTGGAAAAAAATTTTCCAAAGAGAGGTTTTATTTCAGGTTCTAGCACAGGAACACAAGTACTCATGACTCTAAACAAGTTCCTTGTAAGATAGAAAAGAGAGAATCCATGCACACAGTGTATCCCTAGTCACTACAAAGGATCCCTTCTGGGATATGCACATGTTTGCAGAAAACCAGCACAGCTTTCCACAAAGGTAATTTCTACTTTCACCAGATAAGTACATGAACATGGTTCTGCTTCTGCAGCTAGTTCTTAGTGCAGGCAGACACCACCGTCAGGATGTCCCGTGTCATGTATTTCCTCCATATGAATTATAAGGGTGGTCTCCTCATTGGTGAAGCACGGGACACCATGATGAAGGGCATGCCGGTGAACTGGTCCAAACCCGTGAGAACCACTTGTAGAAGTGTATCGTAGATATTGTGAAAGATAACAACACTGACTGGATAAATCTGCTTGGTATTACATTCTTTTAATCTGTGACCTTCGCATATACACTTCTTCCATAGCTCAGGACTCAAGTCAAATATCCAGAAGCCATCTGACATTTAACAGAACTTAACACATAATCTTGCTTAAATACTGGGCTCACTGCAAGGTCATACACAATGGGTCCAATATTTAAGAGCAAACTCGTTTTTCTCTGTACATCACCTGTGTTCCTTACCTTCTGCTCCCACAGTCCACATATTGACAGTGTAGATGCCTTTTTCAGGCTGAGATGAGGGATCTACCTCACAAGGACTTCTGGGATCCTTCCATTTAACTAGCTGATTCCAATTATCAGTGACTGTCACATTCCCTCCTGGTCAGAATTCAAAACATCTTAGTTTCTCTCCAAAGCAGACCTTGAAATAAGAGTGTGGATCCAAAGCAACCCAAGTGTCCCTAGATGATGGATGGATGAATAAAAGGTGATGCCCACATACACTGGAATATTCTTCATCCTTAAAGAGGAAGGAAAATCTTGTCATACACTGCTGCAACATGGATGAAACTTGAGGACATGATGCTTAGTGAAATAAGACAGTTACAAAAGGACAAATATGGTATGATTCCACTTAGATGTGGTACCCAGAGCGGTCAACTTCATGGAAAGAGAAAGTAGAAGTGGGGTTGCCAGGGGCCGGGGTCTGGGGAGGGAGAATGGGGAGTTAGTGTTTAATGCGGACAGCATTTCAGGTGGTGACGCCACATGATACGAATAAGCTTAGTGCCACAAAACTGTCCACTTAAAAATGGTAAAAATGTTTAATTTAATGTTATGCATATTTTACCACAATAGAAACATTTATTAAAAATACAGAGGATATGGATCTGAGTAGTTGCTTTTGGGAGGAAACCCCAGGAAGCACCATGAGGGAAGAAAAAAATTCACTCTGGGTACACGTGTATCGATGCATTTCCACTGTAGGTGACTGGGTTCAATTTCTCCGAGCAGAGCACATCTCAGAACGGACCCCTGAGAGGGAGGGGCTGGGGTCTCTATCCACCACCTGCGGTCCCGTGCTTGCTGGGAGCATTTAACTCTCTGGCCCTCTGGCCCGTCTGCCCCAGGCAAAGCACTCACCAGGGGCCACCAAATGCAAAAACAAAGGCCACGGATGTGTACACGGATGGCCCGCAGGCAACCCCAGGGATAGGCCGGGGAGATGTAGGTCAGCCACCAACCGTGTCCGCTACAGGCACCCTGCGTTCCCACAGCTCCAAATTCACATTCTAGGACAAGTGGGACTGTGTAGCCTCACACAAGAACAGCATAATGCTTGAAATAGGCACTTTTTTTTTAAATGTTTTATTTATTTCTAGGAGAAAGAGAGAGAGACCGCGTGAGCAGGGGAGGGTCAGAGAGAGAGGGAGTCACAGACCGAAACAGGCTCCAGGCTCTGAGCTGGCAGTCAGCACAGAGCCCGACGGGGGGCTCGAACCCACGAACCGCGAGATCATGACCTAAGCGAAAGTCGGACGCTTAACCTACTAAGCCACCCAGGCACCCCTGAAATAGGCACTTTTAAAGTGCCTGTATCATGCTCTGGTTTCTCTTCAGATCGTATAATTCTTTCGCCTTTTAAAAGTGCCTGTATCTGCCACTTCATTCACAGTAACAAACGACATCGTTCTGTTTGGAAAAGGTTTCATTTTCACTCCTAATCTTAAACTGCGCCCTCTGAAAACATTTCCTTTTATAGATAAACATTTCCAAGCTGAGAGAATATTTAGTCTGAGGGTATTCCAAGTAATGCTGGAAGGATTGAGGAGACTCCTTTAAGCCAAACAAATTTGTTTCACTCTTAATAAGGTTTGGTAATGTTTCAATTTGAAGGCTTCAGACTGAAAATGCCAGGAACTCCTTTGGAGAAAGAAGTGTGCATTTTTTTTTGGTGGCTAAATATTCATAACTTAACATTAAGCATTTTAACCATTTTTATATGTAGCTCAGCGGGATCAGGTACATTCTCATTGCTATGCAGTCATCACCGCCACCAGGACGTTTTCATCTCCCCAGACTGACACTCTGCATCCATTCAACACTGACTCTCCATCTCCTCTGCCCCCTGCCCCCCAGCCCTGGGCAACGGCTTTCTACTTTCTGTCTCTGTGGATTTGACTCCTTAGGGACCTCTTATAAGTGGAGCCATACAGTGTCAATCCTTTTGTGACTGGCTTATTTCACTGAACAAAATGTTCTCAAGTTTCATGCATGTTGTAACATGTGTCAGAACTTCCTTCCTTTTCTCAGCTGAATAATATTCTGTTGCATGTATAGACCACATTTTCTGTATCCATTTATCTGACCACATTGTCTGTATCCACGTATCTGTCCATAGAAGCTTGGGTTGCTTTCGCTTCCGGCTGTTGTGCTTTTTTAAAAAAGAAATAAAATTTCATCTTGGATCAACAGATTGATAAGATAAATACCTCACGTAGACTTACTTACTGTTCTGTGCTTTCTTGTTCTCATCAATAAAACAAGAATGAGAACAGGGGCGCCTGGGTGGCTCAGTTGGTTAAGCATCCGACTTCGGCTCAGGTAATGAACTTGCTTTTGTGAGTTTGAGCCCTGCATCGGGCTCTGTGCTGATAGCTCAGAACCTGTCATCTGCTTCAGAGTCCGGGTCCCCTCTCTCTATACCTCTCCCTTGTTTGTACTTTGTCTCTATCTCTCTCAGAAATTAATAAAGATTTTAAAAATTAAAAAAAAAAAAGAATGAGAATAAGAGTGCCTTCCTCATAGAGATTAGGACAGCTGAGGACCGGCTGAGTTAGTACAGGTAAAGCACCCGCCAGAACAGAGCCGGACACATAGTTTTCACTTAGCAAATGGTAACTATTATTACCATTTTGATGACTGTTATTGAGAATCTACTTTAAATCTATTCGTTCTTTTCTTGGCCTATTAGTCTCATGGGACCTCGAGAGTTCAGCATACAGCTTCTCTTTGTCATCGCAAAGAACATCAAATGAAAAAGAAATGTGTTCATAATATGAATAGTAAGTTTAGTGGTGGATTAGAGGTTATACAAACAGCATGAGTTCATTCAAAAATATATTAAATCTATACAAATATGTCTTATAAAAGTATGTCACTTTTGCGGCTCCTCCGTGGCTTAGTCAGTTAAGCATCTGACTTCAGCTCAGGTCATGATCTCACAGTTTGTGGGTTCGAGACCCTTGCTGGGATCTGTGCTGACAGCTTAGGGCCTGGAGCCTATTTCGGATTCTGTGTCTCCCTCTCTCTCTGCCCCTTCCTGGATCACGCACACGTGTTCTCTCTCTCTCTCTCTCTCTCTCAGATATCAATAAACATTAAAAAATGTTAATGAAAAATAAAAGAATAAATAAAAGTATGTCCATTTTTTCAGTAAAACACCAGAAGAACGGTGGTCCTTGCTTTCTCACCTGGGCTAATGCAATCCCCTCTTGATTTTCTCTGATCTCTCTCTGGCCCACATTCATTCTCCATTCAGAGACCAGAATGTTTCAGATATCTAAATCCATTCCCAACCCAGGACCAGAGCCTGTAAGGTCATGGTCTGCCTTTCGAGGTCTACCCCCTCAGGACTGCTCAGCCTTCACCACCAGCCTCTTTCCCCCTTGCTCGTGAGCTCCTGCTACATCAGCCTTGTCCCTGCCGTGGGGGGTGTCTGCCTGGAATGCGTGTCCGCTCTTCATCCGCACATAGCTAGCAGCCCCCTGTCAGTCAGGTCACGGCTCAAATGTCCCCTCCTGGGGGAGGCCTTCCCACTTCCCGACCACAGCTGTTACCCAGCCCCTCACTATCACAGCATGCATGCTGATTGCACAAGAGTGTGGCATCCCTGAAAGTTTGCTTTGTCCAATCTGTTCACTGCTCCCTGTGGACTGTGAGTTCTATGAGAGCAGAGACCTTGTCTGGTTCACTGCCATGTCCCTGGAATGTGTGCGGAACAAGGCACAGACGCAGCGGGTGCTCAGTGTGTGTGCTGAACGAGGGAGGGAGGGCGTGACGAAGACCACACCTTACATAGCAGTAGAATCTCTGAGACGTAGAATTAGCCTACACATGACTTTTTTTTCTGGCTTGTTTCTATTTCTCACTTTTCCTACAATATTTGGAAACTGTGTTTGTGTAATGTAAAACTCGGTTTGTATTAGGCAATAAGAAGGAGGAGTTTGCACGAGTGAGTACTTCTGTGGAGTAATGAAACCAGTGCAAGAATAAAATTTTGAGAAATCATGCAAAGAGGGCTCACCCGCAAGTTTGGTTCCCTCACTTGGTATCTGCGTCACCTCTCACATCCTCAACCTCCTTGGGGCACAAACAGGGACGCCTCCCTCATTCTGGGGCTCAGAACATCAGCAGGTGCCATGTGAACAGTCACTCACTCTTGCAGAAATCTGAACCGAGCATCATCAAGGAGCAAGAAACAACCCAGGCACTGAATCTGTCCAGTGGGGAGACACCCCTGCCATCATTCAACAAAGAGGTATTGAGCGTGAGGGTGAAGACCTGTTCAGAGATCATTTTGATTTGTGACGAGTATCCTGCAACATGATGCCACCAGGAAATGGCTCTGGCCAGAAAGGTCAGGAATCACTTGAGAAGACCCTTATGGGGTGAGTCGTATTTCAGTACTGGAGATGTTCCATGATAGACATTTTTATTTAGCCAGATTCAGAAGGAGATCGAAGAATCATTTTCCTCTGGTCACATACAACACGTTCCGAATACAGAGAATGGTGGGTACGAAAATGTTTTAGGGAAAGGACTAGCGGCAGAAGGAGAGAAGTGAGAGTCTCAGTCGTCAGAGGAAGAACAGCAGTGTCTGCTCCCTCGTCATGATGGGCTGGCACCATGTCAGGAATCCAATCTGAACTCCTATCTGTAAGATTTTAATAAATCTGCCACAGTAGTGTGTGTGAGTGTGCATGTGTGTATAGATTCACACACACACACACACACACACACACACACACACACAGACACAGACTCTGACATGGTGCCCTCGTACTAGGTAGGAAGATGAACCTGGAAAGTAAGGGTAAAACATTTAATATTTAATACACACATTACTCGAGATTAATGTGTGTAGTAAATATTAGAAACCAAGCAATTACATAGGTGGAGCCTATTCCAATTTATAGGAATAACCTCAGTAACTGTAAGACATAAAGGCAGAGTACAAACTGCAACAGCCCTCAGCCAGGAGGCAACTTGCAGTGAAAGTGGAGGCTGCCTCAAAAACTGCTTAATAATTCTAGGAAAGCAGGAAGAAGATGGCTTGTAAATAGAAAAAGTTGAAGTTATCAAAGTTACCACAACCTCTTGCATTTTTAAATTTGCAGGAAGAGTCAGTCTGTAAGATGTCTCTTAGGCTCATATTGGAGGATTGGCAATTCCAGAATTCTCAGTAAGGAGATGTGGGGGTGCAGGAGTGTGGAGGTATGGGGGGTGGGTGTGGAGATA